AGTCGAGGCAGGACGGCGACTTTCAACTTAAAAACATGACTTTAAAACCTTTTGCGATGGCCTCTCCCAGCCTTATGTTCTTGGCAGTGTTGCATGACAGACTTTGCATGACGTGGCTGTCTGTGTTTACATAATCATAAGTCATCGTTTTAAGTAGGGCCGTGTCACTTAACTGCGTCTGCATCCTCACTTTGATTCAAATTGGGGGTGGGCCACATGGCAACAACTGGATCAAAATAAAAAAGTTAATCCATTTTTCTGAATGTTCGTTAACTTCATCCGTGGTTTGTTCAGAGCCAGCGACCACATTGCTGCTTATGTGTCATAAAGGGCAAAGTGTATTTACTTGATATTGATATAAACTTATAGTTATAAACAAAGATTTAACAAAACAAGATTTAAAATTGACAAAATATATTAAAAGTCAAGGATTTTTTGGACACTCAAAGACTCTTAACATGTCATTCATTTACTCACACGGTGTTGATAAACGACTACAGTAGCCACAGCTGCCCTGGGGCACACTGACATAAGCGAGGACATTACGGTGCCATTGACAGACTACGTGGGTAAAGTGTCTTGCCTATAAGGACACGACAACGGTTCGGCACTTTACAGCCGCAGCCACTCCAGAGGTATCAAACATTTAAAAAAAAAATACTTTTAGACTTGTAAGAAAGAGCCCTTAGTCACTATTTGACTCTTTGAGCTGATTGGTCTAAGCTGCTTCACTACATTTAAATGGGTCTGCAAAAGCTGATCTAAAGACGTGTGAGGTCGCAAAAAATGCATGCATGTGAAAACTAGTGATGGAAGTAAACGGATTTGAAAGCTCTAAACAAGATTGATGGATTATATATGGCAGTTCCTTTTTTGTGTGGTTTGAAATTTGGGTATCCCAGCTTTAATGAGTGGCAAATACCATTCCCCTGCTTTTAAAACTCCACCTTATCTTGCAGCGCTTTTTGCCCTACTTCAAAACGCAACAATTCCGCTCCAACTGGTAATAAACCATTGAATTTCCATCTCCCATGTGGGCCAAGTGCTGCTCGCTGAATCTGAAAAGGCCGCTATGACTAAGTCTTTGGTCTTTGCTTTGTCCTTTTTAAAAAGTCAGAACACACACACACACACACACACACACACACACACACACACACACACACACACACACTCATGGACAGACGCACACACACACGCACACACTCATGGACAGACGCACACACACACGCACACACTCATGGACAGACGCACGCGCACACACACACGCGCGCCTGCAGCCACTGACCAAACCCACAGCCTTTTCTTTAAATAACTTGCGTGAGAAAGCCTCCAGTTTTGTTTTTTCTCTCTCCAAATGATCCTCAAAAGTGGACATATCGGACTGAGATAAATACTGGTCTAAAATGGAAAGTTTTGATGGAATGGTACTGGCACAAACAACTGATGGCCCCCGGGAGCGAGCCCATTGGAGCTATTAGCAGGCACCTTACGCAAGCGTTTACCAAAGACTCCGGTCGTGTCCAAAATGAAACCAAACTATTCTGCAAGTCTGTTCTAGAGAAGAGTAGAAGTGAAAATGATTGTGTAGTCGTGTCTCATGGGTGGATTTGTTCACATGTTTGCACTTGTTTTGCATAATGTGGTGAATTCAGTTTCCCAAACATGGATCTTATTCAGTAGAAAAGGCTCAATTGTTGTTTTGAGATTAAATATGAGGGGTTTGTAGTTGAGCTCCATTTGTTTTTAGCTCATTTTGTAAAAGCAAAGAGAAACCTTCAGATGGATCAAAGCTTTTATAGAGCATTGTTCCCACATCAGAGACATGCTGTACCTGGAGTTTAGTTTATTGCTCTCTCCATTCTAATATTAGTCACTGCAACATTCCCACTTTGTTTTTTTTAAAGTGTGAGAACCCCTCAGACAGCAGGTGAAGCCAGAAAATGTAGAATATCCTTTTGACAGGCCATTTATTACCGTCATTTAACTTAATAGTTTTGGGTGACTGCCCATTATTCGTTATAGCATTTCATAATTCATCCTGACAGAGGTTAATCAAATCATTCAATCAATTGCCGCATAACTATATGGGTTCAGACTCCTGTGCAAGTATCAGCCCCAAACTAGGAGCTAAGACGTCTCCTTTAAGTCTCACCATTGTTTCTATTATGTGTGAGCGCTCCAAACATGGGAACAAGAATTTAAAAAGTGGCAGACACTGAGGAAAATGCTTTCTTTGTGTTAAAATGTCCTCTGGGCGTCTTCGATTTTATCAAACTATTATCCATTCATCTACAAACAATTAACTGACCAAACTGTGACAAACTGTGACAAACTTCATGATTTAGAAACATTAAATTGGCGTGAAATTCAAGTTTTTACCAAACCCACAGTTGTTTTTATTCATCGCTTTCATACTCTCAGCTGTTTTTGAGTCATTTCTGCACGTTTTGAGAATAATCTAATGCCACCCAAAGGAAAAATGTTTGGTTATAAAATGTATTTATTTATACTAATCACAGAATCACAGAAGAGGGATTCTCAAGTCTGATGCATTTACACAGAAATAATGTTCATGGAAAGGCCTCGCTCTGATCTGTCTTGTCGCCCTGACGTCCTCTCACAGAAGCAGGAGTTGTTCGAAGGTTGTAATAAATACCGCTCAATAGTTGCGTAAGCGTCCCATGCTGTGGTGTCGCGTACACTGCTGAGGAGGCACTTCACTGCCGCTTGGAAACTGCTTGGCTAAACTGCATTATGTTTTTAGAGCTGTTTTCTCAGCTCCCATCACGCAAGATGTTTATTCAAAAGCAGTTCTTTCAGGGCTTTACAGAACCACAAATATTTTTTAACAATTTGCTGCACAATATTTGACTAAATTATCAATATCTCATTCATCAATATCATTTGTGTGTAAGAATAATGAGGATGTTTGTGAATGGATCCTTGTGTAGGACTGTGGCAGTAGATGCACTTGAGCTTCACAGCAAGAAGGTCCTGGGTGTCCTGTGCCTTCTGCAGTTTTCCTCCAGGTGCTCCGGTTTTCCCTACCACAAAAACATGAACAATATGTCTGAATGTACTGAGTGACTGAGTAGTTATGGCTGAGGCTTTTGAGTGTCTCACCTTGTGTGTGCGTTAGTTAGTGCTTTGTGTGACCTCGGTCAGTGAAATGTGCTGTGTATATTAAAAAAAAGGGAATTGTAAAGTAGTGTATAGAAAGGATTTTCCCAGAGTGTGTAAAGCTTGTCCTTTGGGATTCATTGCGATGTCATGTGAGGAGTCTGTGGTGTGAATAACTGTAGTTGTCCTGTTTTGACAACAATGGTAAAGGTTGACATGTTGTTTGGACTCGTGTTGACTTTTCACCGCAGGGAGGACGGAGAAGGGTCAAACTTCCGACTACAAAAAGCTTATCTGATGGAGCAAATAAAGAGATTTACACATTATTTATAGGAAAGGGCAGCACATGCAAAATCCCAAATTCTAATATAAGAATCTTGTTACACGACTCCTTGCACTGATTTTAATGATACATTTTGGACTCTCAAAGATGCTTTATGCAGGAAGGTTAACAAGAAACAACAGTTTAATTTAACTTTATATTTTTTAAGTGTAAGCAGTGAGTTGAAGTTCTGAAGTCAGTCAGAGTTCCTGGTGTGTTCTGAGAGTATGTGCCAGAGATTGGGGGCAGCTGCAGCGAGGTATAGTGAGGAGGTTGAAATCGGCAAATCTGAGGGACAGTGCTGATGGAGGTCGGAGAGATATGAGGGGGCCAGGTTACGAAGGGACTTGTCTGTGAAGAGGAGGACCCCCCTATTGAATGCGGTATGAAACAATTAAGTTGCTGGAGGATGGGGGTGATGTGGTCTCTTGGTCTCTGAAATTATTGTCCATTGTGTGTTTTTTAATCCTTGGCAAAAAACACTGAATGAGTTCTAATGCGCCAGCCTGTGTCACACTGCAAAAAGTGATAAATTGCTCAACTTTAGCTAAATGTATCTTAATTTGAGCCCATTTTGACTGCCTTGAAAACAAGATTTGCCAATGGAACAAGCAACATAATCTCGTTCTAAAAAGATACAAGAAATGTCTCCCCTAAAGTGAGATAATGAAAGTTCTTGAAATAAGACTTTTAAATGGCTTGTCTCATTTGCAAATCTTGTTTTCAGACGTTCAGAATGTACTCAAATTTACGACCAAAACCTCTAAATCCAAGCCATTATTACCTCATATTTTATACATTTTTTTGGCAAGGCAAGGCAAGGCAAGGCAAGGCAAGGCAAGGCAAGGCAAGGCAAGGCAAGGCAAGGCAGCATTAAAATCATAAATAATGACAGAACATTAAAAAGAAAGATACAAATATAAAATCCCTCAGTTGTATGCACAGTTAAACAGAACTGTCTTTAACCTGGTTTTAAACATTGTCAGAGAGGAGGCCTGTCTCACATCTTCAGGAAGACTGTTCCAGATTTTAGCAGCATGAATCTGAAAAGCAGCCTCCCCATGTTTAGTTCTGACTCTGGGCACTAACAGGAGTCCAGTCCCTGTGCTCCTCAGAGTCCGGGCTGGTTCATATGGGACTAACATGTCACTAATATATTTTGGTGCGAGGCCATGGAGAGACTTGTACACAAGCAGCCTTAAATCTCAACAGTAATTATCTTAAAGGACTCTGTTGAATGTGACTTGGGTGCATCTCTGACTGCCACCCCCCCAACCCAGAAATGGATTAAGGGGTAGAAAATGGATGGTTGGATGGACGGACTCTATCGAATTTGCCAACGCAGATAAAACTGTTCAAACACAAGAAATGCAATGATGAAAAACGCATAGAGCCTTTGGTCCATATGGGGGGGATCACCAACGTCCATAAATTTTGATGTGGGTGTGTAAAGAAAGACGCAACCCAGAGTTTTTGCGCAGTGCGACTGAGGCTTCAGGTGTAAACAGTGTGGTGGTGGAGTTAGTGTAACCATGTGCTCCTCTCTCGTCCACAGCCCAGTGTTTGTGCCCTGCTCAGACATGACTGAGGTGATGATCAGCAGCTCCCCCATGGACGACATCAGGCTGAGCCCCAGCAAAGACAGTCTCGCCTACCAGGTACACACACACACACACACACACACTGGACCCCACCTCAGGGTTCTAGGTCCTCGGTCTCTGCTCGGCTCCGCTGCAAACGCCAAAGCTATTGCAACCACTTTATTGTGAAAGTAACTGGGTAAAAACATTCTGCATGCCAGGATCAACTCCCACAGTTCAGATTCCTCCATACAGGAAAGACAACCAAAAGAATATCCTCATTTTATCACTGATGCTCGTTTTTACGCGTTTATCGTGGGGTTGTGTTCTAAAAATAACTTTCGATAAGTTAAATCTCCAAAGTAGCAGCTCTAAGTTTTAAGGCTGTAAAACCCCTCACCACTCACTCTTTCTAACCACCTGCGGCAGCTGTCAAAAGCCATGCATAAAATGTAAAATACATATTGGGCTGAGGGGCAGGAGCAGGACTGAGGCCTACAGCGGTCCTTCTGTAGCCCTAACTAATTGCAGCACAAAAAAAAAAAGAATAGCAGTGTCCATCAGGTGCCGATGACAAGCTCTCTGCACGCCTTTGTTTTACTGTCACTTCAGGAGCTATTCTGGACGTGCGTCTATGTCCACGACCACTGGACACGTGTTTGATGAGAAACCTCTCAGCTTTTTCTGGCACACGGTCACTGAGGTGGAAAGATGACCCCATGTCTGTTCATTGGGTTGAACAAGAGCTGCAGAATGGAATGAGATTGGAATTAAATGAATTCAAAACCACACCGCCCTTACTCAAATTTGGTAAGATTTGTCTTAATTTGAGCATATTCTGACTGCCTTTTAAACAATATTTGCTAATGGGACAAGTACAATTATTTTGTTTTAAAAAGATACAATAAATGTAATCGAACAACTAATTGATTAATCGACGACTAATCGATTATTGAAATGGTCGACAACTATTTTAGTAATCGATTAATCGTTTTCTGGTTCACACTGACTCAAACAGAGCAAAAATGACATGAAAATGTAGTATTTTTGATTAAAACCGACTTTCTTTTTATAATTTCATGAATATCTGTCTGTTTCATCCAATCAGATAGCAGAATTAGCACAAAGAGCCTGTTACAAACATTTACTTTAAGATTACGCCATCAATACGTCCTCGAGTGTTGTCACTTTAGCTTTTTGTGATAAAAAAAAAATTTTTTCTACACAATTCACAGCCAAGCGATTAGTCGATTAATCGTAAAAATAATCGATAGATTAATCGATTACAAAATAATCGTTAGTTGCAGCTCTACTCCCTTGGAATGAGAAAATGAAGCAAACGTTCTTGAAATGAGACACAATGGCTTTTTCCCTTTGGAAAATCTTGTTTAAGACGCTCACAATGTACTCAAATCAAAATAAATACGCCATTCAAGAAAATATTACCTCCATGTTTTATAATTGTTTGGTGGTCAATTGAATGTATTTCCCATAAAAAACGATGTCAAGCCTTCCAGTTTATGTCCTGAAGGTTGAACGCCACCCAAACATGCCAGTACGTACATTCCATTGAGGACTTTTATTAAGGCATCAGAGTACCTTGAAATAGAAATGGGCCGTCAGTGAAAGTTAGATTGCTGTGATGAAGCCAAACCTTCAGCCCCTTGGGGACATTTGTCCCCAATCATACCCTGTCCTTTGGCTAAGACCCTATTTAGATCCAGGTATGGGATGGTAGATCCTGAACTGATCTACAGCCCCAACCCAAGATTTAAGCCATAATCACTCACATCTACAAGTGAATTGAAGGCAACTATACATTCGGCGGTGGACTTCACAAGTCGTATATGAAAAATTTATATTATTAACCCTTTAAGCGCCAGAGGTTTTTTTCCAAAACGCTCGATTTTGACATCTTAATTTCAAAAGGCTATAACTTAAAAGTGATAAGAGATAAAGGCTTTCTGTAAATTAGAAAAATAAAAAGGATGGTCCAAAGTGTATGTAGAGAATAAATTCCCCCATCTAATTTGCATATTATGACGTCATTTTGGCATTAGAAATAGTGGATTTTAGAATTTTCATACAATATTTGTATTTTTCTAACTGACAGACATATATTTATCACTAGAACATGAACACACACAGAGCACACACTGTAACATTGTAAATGTTCATGAAAATAGTAAAAAATACAAATCATGATGCTGCTGTAAGCAGTCTGCCCAGACGCGCGCCTCCAGGAGAAGCGCGTCACCGCGACCCTGCTGCTGCAGATTTCTCCCCCTCTCTCTCTCATCTCCCCTGATCTCTCTCTCTCATCTCCCCTGCTCTCTCTCTCGTCTAACACACACAAGACAAAGCTTCTCCAACACATTACTGTCCCGGTGATTACGTGAGGCATGAAAATACATATGTGGGAAGCACTTTTAGCGGAGACTTTGGCGGAAACTTGAGCGGAGGCGGGAGGTCGTGGCGCGGCGTCCCGACCCGAGTTCCAGGGTTGTTCTCCGCAAATCTAACCTGTCTCCAAACCTCCCAATGACTTGGCCTTACTCTAAGAAACACTGTTCCCACTGCAGACCCTGTGCAAAGTGTCTAAAGTTAGTGTTTGGTGCGGTACAACACTCACAGGCTGCCCCGCAGCTGCATTCGCTTCGCTATGATTACCGCACTGGTTCAACGCGGTCTTGCTCGAATATTTTGTATAGGAGCATGACGTTTTTTGGGGCCAGGGAGGTAGTCTGACATGTCTGCCAACTAGTGGCAGGGAGTATGAATGAATTTTGACACTCAGTTGGTCACACTCGGCCGTTTTTAACAGTACCGCAGCTTGTCGACTTAAGTCGACCGTGGCGCCTAGAGGGTTAACTTGTTTATTTTTTTAATGCCTGCATATGGTGGTTCCTGATGCTTTTGCCCAGAGCCTTTTTGAAAGACTCTGTCAGGTGGATTGTGGTGCGCATTACCACTAACCATGAAACGTAGCGGAAGAGCAATGTGTCCACAAAGCCAGCTCCCTTCCGTCAGGCCGGTCTAACTAACGGTCCACTCTGTGATCCACACACGTTCAGCTGCGACCACTGAAAGGAAGTGACGTCACTTTATGGGGATAAGGAAGTGGCTGTGTCAATGCTAATCTCTTGGGGCAGCTCACTCTCTGCACCACGCTATCCAAATGCTCCCGAAATAGAAGTGATTGCGCAGTGTGAAGTGTGGAAGGCAGACGGGCCGTGACGTGTGAGGGAGGGGAGTGGGGGGGAGTAGGGAGAGGGGTCAGGGGCACTAAAGTCTGTCCCAGCAGCACAAAGGACACAGGGGAGATGGGGAGGGATAAAGACACTGTAAAGCAAAGTGAGCATTAGAAAATGGATAGAAACAACATGGCAGCAGTTGTTTTGAAATGTACTACTGTGTCTACTGAACTTCATCAAGTTCCTTTGCAGTTTTTCAAGTCAGAAACCTGTTTTACAAAGCATCTGTCAAATAAGCTACTTCTGCCAATCCCTTTTTTGTACTTTTGGTATTCTGTTCTTTTATGTCAAATGTACACACAAGTTTGAAGTCCAATAAACAATTGCTTGATATGTTCTGTAACTATATCAACTGGATCTCTGTGTGAGTGTGTGTGTGTGTGTGTGTCGTATGTGTGTGTTGTGTGTGTGTTCTCAATTCAACTCTGTTCTTGCCATTCCAATATTTTAGTTTAGGCAATTTCGGACCCCATTTATAAGCTTTAAAATTGCTTCCCAGGGATATGCACAAAAGATTCAATGTATCTGAAATCTGTGGTGTGAAAAAACGTACGCCATCAATGCAGCATTTAGATTGACCCATAATGTTTGAAAAGAACATCCTAAACCCAACTTAAATGCAGGGAAATTACTCTTTTATGAAGGCACTTTATATTTGCCTGTTGGGAGCGAGTAAGGATCTCTTTAATTGTCCGTGGTAAATCCCGCTGCGGCCTGTGGTCAGAATTTGAATTCCATAACAATCTAGTTTCTGTCTTTAAACAATATGAAACCATCTGACCAGTATTTTGATGTTGAAGATGTAGGAAGGCACTGACGGGAAACTATCCAAATCAGTTTCATAGTAATTGTTTAAAATGCATATAAAAAACATGTACATTCTTACTCATTGAAGACTGTGATCCCATATTTAGAACTGTAATTAACTGATTTTGGAAATTCTTTGAAATGAGTTGTTTTAGATCCCGAAAGATCAATGAATATGTGAAGAGATTCCCCTGGAGAACACCTTCATAGAGATGACTTGTTAAACGTATTTCTTCCCAGGGTCTGAATGTTTTGAACGGGCTTGTGTTTTGAGCCAGATAATTGTAATACCCGTCACCACTTTACCTGCAAATATTCCTATTACCGCTACTAATATTTTTGTGGGAAATGAAGGTCAAACCAGAAAATGGTTGGACTCATATTCTTAAATTGCTACTTGACAAAGAAATGTCTCTTCGTGTCCAAAATCTAAAAACAGTCTAATATTTGATCAATTTTGGCCGTGAACGTGGGCTGAGGAACAGATTTGAAGGCCCTGAATTGGACCCCAGGCCGCAAGTTGAATAGCCTGTTAAATACATTGGACAGTTACACATGTTGAAGTTTCTATTCTGTAAGGGTCAAAAACAATTCATCCATTATCTTTTCTATAATCGTATAATTACTGAACTTGTTGCAGTTCTACACACACACACACAGTATAAACACGCAAACTTTCTCCCACTGTAGTTTTCTGTTTTTGTGTTGCATTCCTCCTGTCTCGTACATCTCCTTGAGGGATCTGTGGCTAGAGCTGGAGCTGGATCACCTCCATCTCCAGCTTCTTCTTCTTCTTCCTCTGTGTGCCCAGACAGCCACATTGGCCTCGCTGCCCCCAATGCCTCTAAATGAAATATGCAGGTCTAAAAATATTCCCTCCAAACAAGATAGATTTTGTTCTTGGAGCTGGGAGTAGGGGCTGTTTTTGTTTCAAGGCTCTTTGTGAGAACGCCTGCTGAGGGCCAGTCTCATCCACAGCAGATACCAGAGTCTTGTGGAATTATGAAGACTGATTGGACGGTGACTTTTGACCGCAGGGTCGAGTGCTCCGTGTTACGTAAAGCAATTTTCCACCGACTGGTACGACTGGGGTTATTAGGAGACCTGCTTTTGTAGCTCATAAATGCGCTCTACTGAAGTCAAGTTTATTGCGTTTGTGCTCGGAAGATAAGGGATTTTATTTTTTTGGAGCCACGCTAAAACCTGGTCAGATGGAATGGGACACGATATGGGGCCACAAGGTCTTTCGAAATTGGCTTGAGATGTAGGATTTTGTGAGATTTCTTTGTGGGTTTTTAGGTTTGGCTCGGGCACAAGTCGAGTGAAATGAATGTGCTGAATTGTTCATTTTTGAGGGGTTGTAAAGTCCTCAATGCAGTGATACAGTGACAGCAAAGCATGTCATGTCAATCATAAATTTGTGAGGTCCAAATAATGTTTGCAGTCATGAATACAAACTGCTCCAAAAAAGAAAATCTGGCGGTTGCTACACATTTGTCTGCTCCTACAGCTCAGATAAACAGCTCCACCTTACAGTACTCGTAGATTATGATTTCTGCTTAAAGGTTATTTTTCAGTTAAAATCATTGAGTACACATTATATTTGTTTAACATCATAGTACGACTTAATTATTTAGTAATAATATATATTTTTAAAATTATTTACAGTAGTGTCTCGCACACGCGGTTCATCTTTTGCGGGCTCGATGTTTCGCAACTTTCTTTTGTATGTACCATTTTGCTTGATTTTTTTTCTTTATATGTCTATGCTGGCACAGATCATAGTAGATCCATGGTACAGCAGTCTATGGTACAGACACAAGTATTGACAGCGCTCTTTCCCGTCTATCTCACTCACTCACTACTCAGACCACTAAAATTGGTCTATGCTTGTTATAATGTACTTTTGAACAAGAAAAGTCACGGAGCTCAGTTGGTGCGCAGTATAATCGGTCCGTCTGAAACATATCCTCCAGTGAGGAACGTTCCGCGGTGGGAAAAACACATGCAATTAAAATGCGTTAATTTTTTTTAACGCACTAATTTGTGTGGCGTTAATCGTAATTAAGCAAGCAAAATGGTACAAACCTAAAAACTCACAAAATCCTACATCTCAATTGTCTATATGTGCCAGCCCCGGTCTCCGCTAGCCCCGTAGCCCAAAGTAACCATTCACATGAAACAAAAATTTTAGGACACATTTGAAGAGGATCTGATTATGGATATAGGTTGGGTATATAAATGGGTAACTCACTGCTGATGGTCAGAATACTTTGTTCAATTTTCATTTAGTTCCAGAGAGTTTTTGAACTAGTTAGCTTAGCTGTTATCCGCCTAGCACAATAGATCTATGGCCTAGCCACATCACAGTGAAACCTTTTGGGAGCTATTAATTTTATTTGCAGTCATTAAATACACTTCGAATATTATGGGCTGTCTAATATTTGTTCGAACACATAATATATATATATATATATATATATATATATATAATATTATATATATTTGTTTCCCACCTCTGCACCTTCTCCACCGACTCCCACTGATGACTGCTGTCGTTGTGTCCTTGGGCAAGACACTTAACTCCACTTTGCCCAAAAGCCCCCACTGAAAGATCAAGGCTATGCTCACACTCAGAGAACAGCCGTCCTCCTGTGGACTCACCACCTGCAGAGGGTCAGTGAGGGGCTGGTGCTATGAGACTTGGGTGGCATCTCTGACTGTCATCCCCCTGACCCAGAAATGGATTAAAGGGTAGAAAATGGATGGATGGATAATTTTTTTTATATTCGAATATTGGCTTTTGAAGTCAAAGCTCTAGTGCTCACTGTTAGTGCAGTGGATTTTGGTTATAAAGAGCGTCTGTTGTTTTGGAGAGTGTGGAGGCGATAACAGATAAGTTAATTGATGGAAAGAAGTCCGTCTGCTCCCCTTATCATCCTACATCAAGCTGATGTATTCAGTCATTATTCAATGGTAAACTAAAAAGCCATGTGAAAAAAAAATACTTCTTACTGTTCTCAGGAAAAATATATTATGTGATTAATTAATTACAAAGCCTCTAATTAATTAATCCCAGCCCTAGTTTTTATGTAACTTGTTTGCACCCGTTTTTGGAGAATTTGACATGCAACGTAATCATTATACATGTGTTTTTTTTAGATTTGATCATTTTACATGATTTTTAATAATCGTCTCCATCTGGTGGGAAAATGCATTCCGACATTTTCCGTTTAGGGAAAAAACGTATTGTAAGGATTGGTCATAGCTTATCAGGTTTGAGGCAGGAGAATTGAGACAGAGGGGTTGGGGGGACGTCTCTGGTTCAAGTTCCTAATAGCAAAGATTGAGATAAAAACAATTACTGGACCGGAAGGGAAACTATTCTGTAACATGGTTAAAAAGTATGATAATGTTGGTCTCAATTTGATCGTCTTTTGTAATCCTCATTTTCATTTATTTTTGTTGTGCAGATCTTTCCAGACCCATCGGACTTCGAGCGCTGCTGTAAGCTGAAGGACCGGCTGCCGTCCATCGTGGTGGAGCCCACAGAGGGAGAGGTGGAGAGCGGCGAGCTGAGGTGGCCCCCGGAGGACTGTCTGGTCAGCGAGGAAGAAGAAGAGGAGGAAGAGGAAGCACACGCACACACCAATGGCAGCCTGCAAAACGGACAAACCACACAAATCTCCCAGCACTAGACTCTTTCTCTTTCTCCTCCAACCAGCCAGCCGCCATCTTGGAAAACGCCAATTTCAAAGTCTAACCCCAGACCAACAGTTCCAGCCTTGCTCAGCAATATTTTTCCAACACGTTAATGTTTATAAGTTTGAAATGATTCTTTGTTCTCGCACTGCAAAACTGTCTCTAGCTCAGGTGTATCCAAGCTATGGCCCGCGGGTAAATTGCGGCCCTCGTAGCGTTATTTTTTGGCCCTCAAGTAATCCTGTCAATGTTGCCAGAAATGCCGACAAGAGATGCATTTTCCGACCTTTTTACAAGTAGATCTACATTTTTAAAGCCCATCACGTGTCCTCCTGTAAAATGAATAAAGTTTGAACGGTATTGTCGTTTTTTCTTTTTTTTTTTTTTTAAGATTTCTACTCTTTATGGAAGACATGTTACGCTTGACTACCTTTTTTGCATTGTAAAGAAATGTGGTTTTTTCCGTTGAAAGTCACTTAGAAATGTTTTTCCTTCATCCATATTTCCAGCAATAGATACACTCTCCGCTGATGTTGAGAATAGATTTGAAATTTGGAACAAGTAGGGCATCTTGAACCAATCGTTCTTTGTTAGTTTCTGTACCGTGGAGAGTTCGAGGAAAATTCTCCGGAAAAGCCGTGTTTTTGTAGCAACAGAGAAGGCAATAAGTATTTTTAAAACTGCAATTTTTGGCAAGAGTGATGATTGAACTGAGCTGGAGAGAGAAGTTCACCTTCCACTGTGTCTACCAGAGGCTATGAAGATCGGGAAGAGGAGGAAGATGATCTGCAGCTTTGTAGCCATGGACGGCCTTCGCTGCTGGGGGGTGGCTGCTTCATACTGTCTAGAGTAGACTGTTGGTTGTCTAGACTTTGAGATTTCTGCACGTGTTGGAACTTGGCACTGACTGGTGATTATTCTTGGATACAATACGTTCATAGTTAAAAGAAGGGACCATTATTTTATTTTTTTGGTTGACTTTGCTTAGACCTACAAGGAGTCTGCAGCCTTTGCATGTATTGTATAGAAGGCCAACAAAACCCAAGAAAATGAATGTGTTATGATGGAAAGACGCTACGTTAAACCATCCATGCGTTTGAATATAAGAAATAAGAGAATCATTATTGACTAAAAATTATTACAACTTCTATATCTTTTCTTATCCAACCACGACACATCTACACACCATATACTTGACGTAGTGTGCATTGCCTGCATTGTTCTACAAACATAATTTTCTTGCATTTATTCAATTATATCAAAATACTTTTCAAAAAGGATCTCACTGGGAGTGGGGTTGCCTTTCCGCAGACTGTCTTGACCTGGCCTTGTACGCTCGTCTCTATAGAGGATATGAGTTCGTCCATCTGAACATTTGTACTTTGGCGATTGTCAGTTTAGAAATTGAAATCTCTGACTCTTTGAAATCTGAAAAAATGGTGATGTCTCAGCTGATTTTACATAAGTCAAGACTTCAAAAATTGTTAATTTTTAATAGGAAAGATATGATACATTAGGCCCCAGTCGTGACGCTGTAACATAAATTTAAGCTCACAAAGATTGTTTATTGTAACACTGTGGAAGATTGAAGGCAAGTTGTTGTACAGACTGTCCTCTCCACCCTACTATAGTTTGTATTAGGGGTGGGAACCTAAGGGTACCTCACGATACGATACAAAGCTCACGATAACGATTTTATGATTATTGATATATTGGTCAGATATATACAATATGCCAATTTATGGCATAAATAAAAGAAAAAATACTCTATCATGATAAATAGAATGGAGATGCGTAATGTAGCCATATATTAAGTATTGATACCAATTAAAAAAAATTTTTTTTTTTTCAAAATCTATATTGATACTTGGTAAATGCATATCGATAATCAGCAGGAGAAAGTATCGCGATATATCGAACAATCGCTATCGTCACACCCCTAGTTTGTATTTTAGGCATCTATACTTTAGTTTTGAATCTTTCCCCAAAGAAAGTCCAACTTGTGCAGGTCAGGTTGTTTTCTACACTGTCCGATGTAACTGCTGTCTCAAATCTATCTTGTGATGGTTTTTTGTAAGTGGTCTTGTCACATTATTCTTCTGCAATAATTCCGATTTATTTTTGTTTTTCATTATTTGTGGCCTTATGTTCAATACTCACCACAAACATGTCAATAAATAAGATACCAGCATATTCTACCTATGTACATAAAAGCAATCGTCTGGCAATATTGTGAGTGAAATGGTAAAGATGAAAAAAGGTGATTGTGTTTTTCACTCCATGTGGAAGGATTATGAAACAAGTTGCAATGTACAGACCCCCTGAAGAATATTTGTAAATATGTGGAGTTCTTTGTATTATTATGAATGTAGCGTGATTTCTTCTGGGTGATTTGTATTGAAAATAAAGAACCTGTCTTCCTTTTTGCAAATATTTTATATCGTCGTTATTTATGGGGAAATTGCAAAACGGTTATGTATCAAAATACCTGTATATGATGGGGATTTTTGTCTTTCCATTGGTTTGTGTGATAATCATAAACTCCTATTTGAGCATAGAATTGGGGAAACCGGGCAGCGTGCTTGTTTTTATAGCCCCATCTCAAAAAAGGCCCCAGGTTTTGACGTGTTGAACTTCCGCGTCATCCTGGGACAACATTGGCAAAGGTTGACATGTTGTTTGAACCTGTAATGGCCTAAAAAAACTGAAGGATTACATGAAGATTGTTTTGAAATCTTATTTATATACCGCCTTTCACAGACCAGTCACAAAGCGGTTTACAATTGTTATTTTTTGGGCATTTGTCTCTCACTCCTCAGAGATGGGAGCGGGGCCAGTACAGGAGGCGCATGCCAGACCTATTGTACATGTTTTAGTGGTAGGGGAAACCGGAGCACCTGGAGGAAACCCACGCAGACACAGGGAGAACATGCAAACTCCACTTAGACCTACGAACATATTATTTGGCTACGGCAGTTTTAGCATCCATGTGGAGCTATAAAAACATGCTCAAAAAAAATTTCAAGAACAACTAATAAATGAAAGTGGAGGTGACTGCAAACGTTGATAGGAAGGCTTGTCACGCTGTCGTCATGCAAAACATTGTCCCCCGTGTGTTAAAAATATCTCCAAGGGTCACGTTGGCTCAAATGCATTGTCATTGAACAAAGGCTTAGGTTAAAACTGTTGGTCACACAATCATAGATCACCCAGAGGAGGGTTCTCGGTCATGAGCAGAGGTGAGGGTGGCAACGTAGATTAAGCAATAAATTGAGAGCTTTACCTTTTGACTCTGTTTCCTCTTCACATCGGTCTGATACAGCTCTGACTGCAGACGCTGCTCCCTCTTCGCCACAGCAGTCTGATAAAGTGATCACTGCATACGCTGCACCAATCCGCCCGTCAATCCCAAGACCCCGAGATACTTCAACTCCTCTGCTCTCTGGACATTTTCAAATCATATCAATACAAAAACATAGATTGGCTTATTCTTTGTGATATTCTAAATTGATTCTATTCTGTATTTTTAATATTGTGCGTGTTTTCAATCTATTGTTTAAGGCGTCCTTTGGTGTCGTAAAATAAAATGTGTTATTATTATCATTATTACTTCTCTGAACGATATTGAGAAGTCCTGCAAACAAGTTCAAGTTGCTGTTGTTTACAATGAAAGACCCCAACTTCAAAGGAATCAGGTTTGAACAATGTGTCTTCTAGATTTGCTGATTTCATATACTCTGATAGCTTGTCTGACGACCTTGTCACAAAACCTGATGTTAAATGACTCTGGAGCAAAATAATACATTCAGCCCTGACGTACTCTTTCATGACTTACTTGTAAATGTTTAAAGATGGGTTCTCCATGACCGTATGTATAGATTTGTATAGGTTCAAGAGAAAAGGATGTCAAACACTTTGCAAAAATAAAATTGGATAATTCATTTACATTCATCAGTGTGGACACGGCCAACTTTTGTGCTAAATGTGACCATCGTTGGTTCATGAGAATCTGTATAATGTGTCATCTTTGGACTTTTTATCACAGCTGTAATGGGGTGAGGCAGGATAGGTCTCGACTTCAGCCTAAACCCCTGTCGTCAGGCATTATTTAGCACTAAAATTCAGGATTTACACAATTATCTATTATCATTATTGTTATTTTTTGTCATTATTGTAAAATGTTTCAGATCTTTGAAAACATGGGACCTAAGATCTAATGTTCACATTCAGATTCCATCACTAATATAGAACATGGGTCTCAGAAGACACGCTGACGCCATCTTGCTTCATCCCTTTGCTCTTGTTGTATCCAGAGACTTTGAAAAGCTGTAAATAAACGCTCCCAACTGTGTGCAGAGTCTGCTACAGTTTCACCTGCACACATTTCCTGCACTGTTCTTTCTCACACACAAACAGATACACACACACACACACACACACAGGTCTAACCAATGTAACCAGTAACCTACAGAATCAGGCCACATGCAGCTTCCTGTCTGTCGTTCTGCTTAGGGCATTTGTCTTCTTCTAAATTCAGGTATATAGCGTTGCAAATGCTCACTTTTTCATTTAAAAAAGGTAAGACAATGGAAGTTTATTTGTATAGCACAGTTACTTCACACGAGGCAACTTAAAGTGCTGAACAAAACAAGAGAGAGACAGTCAGACAAGGCATTAAATCATAAATAATCACAAAGATAAATATCACATTCAGTTGTATGCACAGTTCAAAATTATAAACATACAATAGCAACAGAAGCTTCACAAATTCCCCTCCAACACCAAGAGGGATAATTGGCTCAGATTTGTCACATGCAGGTTTGAAAAGTATCAAATCCTCGATGCCTTCACCCAATCCAACCACAAGTGGGGTAAAATCGCTTTTCATTCATTCTCTCTGAAAAAAATCCCCTCCATAAAAATCCACATTTCTGCTCGGGTGTAACCTCGTCTACAGCGACTATACATAAATAGAATCTCTCTGATACTGAACCTA